CTGTATATATACAATTGTGAGATAAAGTTTAAAATAAGAAATTAAGTCACATTTTGAGAAAGTCCAATTATGAAAAATAAGTTGCAGTTGCAAGAATCACACTGCAATTAGTTGCAATTATGTTGCAATATATATATTATATTATATATATATATATATATATATATATATATATATATATATATATAATTGGTGAAATTAATGGTATATTTTGGTTGTACACTTCCACTAGAATTTATATATATATATATATATACATTTCATCCTTCATTTCATCCTCAAAATACTTGTTGTAACTTTTAAAGACAATTGTTTCCAGGCAGACTAATGAAAAACCCTTGTCCTAACCTAAATTTTAAATCTGTCTGGCAGGAATGTTATTCCAGGATCAAGAAGGCTGTTGATGTGGGAACACATACTATTTGGCAAAATCACAGTAAGTCTTTCGTCTCCATCTGTGATTTAAGAGAGATGAGATGTTCTAACAGTCATGCAAATCAGGCAGACACTCACACAATGCTTTACTACAACAGACATAATGTTGTGTTTTCTGTTTTGTGTGCTTGTGCAAATGCGTGGGTGTATTTACATCCATATTGTGGCAGAGCAATCCAATTGTCAGCTACATCTCCCTATCTATCTATCTATCTATCTATCTATCTATCTATCTAAATGTTTGTGTTTACATTTTTCCTAGAGTATTACACTGCGGTAGCAAGCCTGCATTCTCATTTGCTGACAAATGGTGTTTAGAGGTCATCTTACTCTATTGTATGTGTTTGTGGGTGTGCAGAGTGTTGATGTTGTGCTGAAAAAAAGGAATTGCTGTGGGTTAATAGCGGTGGTCAGTTTCATTCCTACTGGTTAAGTAATGGTAAAAGTAACAGGACATGTAGACGAGGAAGATCTACTGTCGATATCTAATAACTGAAAATGTCTTAGCAGCAGAGCATCAATCACCTTATAAAATGTATTTTCAGTGGAAGGTCAGGAAGATGTTACAGTATGGGCCATAAACCCTCATAGCTTTATATGTGGATAATTGGTAGAGTCGGTGCTTTGTGATGATGATGATGTGTGTGTGTGTGTGTGTGTGTGTGTGTGTGTGTGTGTGTG